CTGGTGTAGTGTGCTCTATTTTGAACCTGTGGAAGTCTCTGGAGTGTTTTCAGAGGAAGCTCCATGTAGAGTAATAACCAAACCAGAGGTTATTAGAGCATGGGTCACTGTTGCTAGGCTCTGCCTATCCAGATAGGGTTATAGTTGGTTGATCAGCATAAGCTGATAAAAGGTGCTCCATGCCACTGTGTCTGCTTGTGACAATTTTTTTTTTTTTTTGTATTTTGAGCGGGATTTTATGATTGTAAGCCGCCCTGAGGCTCATGCGATGGGGCGGCATATAAGTTGTTTAAATGAATGAATGAATGAATGAATGAGAGAGAGAGAGAGAGAGAGAGAGAGAGAGAGAGAGAGAGAGAGAATCTGCGTTTTCAGGGCAGAGGAAAACCCTGTGCTTGAGACCTTGGGACAGGACGTAGGCAGTTAAAAGGTGATCAAAAAGACACTCACCAAAAAGACACTGAGGACAATCAAAAAGTCACTGGAAAACATTGAAAAGGCATATGGTGAAAATGCACAGACACAACGAGAGACTACTTGGGCACACAACTGACGATGTTTACACAGCGATCACATTTTTTTCACTGGGCCTGTAATTCATACTTTGAAGAGATTTTATTTCAGCTCTAATTTTCAAACTCTGGATTGTTCAAAGTTAGAGTCATTCAAACTATGAGGCACCACAGTACCTCCTCCTGGAATCAGCCTGTAAAGTAATTACAGAACCATGGCAATGCAGTACCTTCCAACAACCAGCCAAAACAAGTTGTTCAGAAGGATACCATTCTCAATGCTGTGAGATTCAAAGGAATCAAAGTTGCACTTCCCCATTTATCTCCTGACAAAGTTCATCCTACAGGGTTATCAAGGCTATTTCTTTTCTAAAACTAGACCTAAAACCTAATTTCAAATGGACCTAGTCGTTTCTGTCCAAGAGTGTCTGGTGGTGGCCAGCTCAAGAACCTATCTTAGGAAGGGAAAGTTGGCAGCCTGCATATAGTTGCTAGTATCTTCTGGGTTCAACTTAAGTTTCTTTAGGAGTGGCCTAATTACTACCTTATTTAAAGAGGTCAGCACTACCCTTTCTCAAAGAGGAATTTGTTTAGGTGCTAGGCAACCACAGCAACATATCACTTCCCAGCACTTTTTCTCCATTGTAATTGGTAAAAGACTGAGCCCCTGAATATCATATCTGATGTGAATAACTGAGATCAATTATCAAAAACAAACAGCCAAAAGAGCAGTACAACCCTGTTTGATATAATCATCTTATCACAGTACCATTGCTTCTTCTGTGGTTCCAGAAACTTCCTTGTTGTTCTGATATGCAAGAACTATAATCAGTGCTTTTTATTATTATTGGATGCCAAATAGAGAGGGGAGCAGGTCTCATGTTGCACTTACTGGAGGGGCTTGCAGAACATCAAAATGTCTTGCTTCTGCAAAACAGAGGTTCAGCACAAAGGAGGTGGATTCCCCTCTACCTTCTTTGACTCATGAGAAAACTTTGAAAGCAGTGAGATCATACCATTTTCCAACAGAACCCAGTGCAAAAGAAGATGTTCCCTTCTTGGCACTGGAAATTTTGATGACCTGCTCAGTTCCACCCAAGTAAGAGAAAGAAGGGAGAAATTGCTTTCTTTTGAACGGAACCTCAGGGAACTATGCAAAACAATGAAACACTAATCATTTTGCAATGTTTCACTGCAATTAAGATGTTGGAGAGGGAGATTTAATCCTCTTCTGCTTGTAGATGGACATTGCTGGATGTGAATGGAAGCAAAACAGTTCATTAGCTGCAACATGGACCCATCATTTTAGTTAATGATGCCTTAAGAATGGCTTGGAATCCTAGTGTGGAAGTAGCTGGAGTAATCTGTAATACCTATTACAGACATAAGTTCAAGACTTGTTGAATAAGAAAATACCTATATTGGTTTCATTGGAAATAATAGTGTTAATAGTGTTGGGGGAGAAATAATATTCTGTGGAATATTACATAGTTATCAACCTAGAAAAATACTGCTATGAAATAAAGAGCTCTGCTGTCTTTTTCATTTAGTTTAACTTAGTCATGTGAATCCAAAATTTAACTTTCTTTTTAGGAGTATCTTGATAGTGGATGGAATTTGAACAATATGCCTGTGATGGAACAGTCTGTACTTGCTCACATCACAGCAGATATATGTGGAATGAAGTTGCCCTGGCTGTATGTCGGGATGTGTTTTTCCTCATTTTGTTGGCATATCGAAGATCACTGGAGCTATTCTATTAACTATCTGCACTGGTGAGTTTATAAAGAATCAAACTTATAAGTTTGTATATGTGAAATCAGCCATATAAATGGTAGAACAGAGTCAGCCTTACTTAACATGGTGCCTTCTAGATGTTTTTGACCAACTTCCATCAGCCACCAGAGTAAATGGTCAGGAAGACTGGGAATATTAGTCCAATATCTGGAGGACACCAAGTTGAAGGAAGGCTGGACTGAATTATGTGTGTGTGGTTTTTTTTTTTAATTTTCAGCATGTGAGTATTTGCATTTCTGTATATTCTTTGACTGGCTTCACATGACGTGACAAGCCATTATGGGTAACTAGCTATGGTAAGGTTGCTGTGTCATGTGAACATAGGCTGCTTCAGGCTGGGTGGCTTGATTTTAGGCAACAAGTCACCCTGGCAACACAGTCTGTGTTGTAGGGATTGTTGGACCCATGAAATGTTTTAATGCCATCCAAACTTGGGAGACTGATCCTGTTTTGGCTGCAAGAAAACAGCAAAAACCTCTTGCCAAATGCACCATGGTATCACTAGGGACAGCCACTCCACCAATGCCCAACTGGCACCTTGGAGCTACTGCCACTGACTCACTCTCCCGACTCCAAACAAGACCCCTTTTTGGTTGCCATTGCCAGTTTTTCCCTTTTTTCAATTTTTGGAACCATTTTACAATGTCTCCCAGTTACAGCCCCTCCAAGTGTTATGCTGGAGTGTCCACATTATTGATATGCCACTCTTAAAAAAAAAGTGCCAGAAATGCAAGCAAAGAATTTCACAATTTATTTTTTAAAAATTACCAGTCTTTTGGAGATATGCAAGTGTGTTCCTCTGACTAACTGAAATGTGAAGTCTTGTATCTTGCCTGGTCTTGGTAAGTGTCTCCTGTAAAAGTTCAGGAGACAACTTCCATGGATATTGACAACAATAAGGTTGTAAAAAGTTAATTTGTTATTTTTCACCTGATAGCTGTCAAATGGCAAGCTGTCAAGAGAAAAACAAAGTTGCAAATGGATTTTGGCTCATAAAAGGGGTAGCAAGTGCATCTCTTAACAGTGTTATCCTCTAGTTTTAAAGTATTGCTTTGATGGTTCTAAGTGACTTTAACACTTCCCCAAGATTCTAAGATAAACTGCAAAGGTAAGATGTATAACCTATCCTCTTTTCATGAATGGAGACTTTTAACAGGTGTCAAATCATTTTTGAAAGGACTAAAGGTTCTTTTGACTAAACGTTGTTTTGCAGTCAGAGTGGGGAAAAGAGACAAGAAAGCTTCAGTTGCCAAATTTTTTGGTATGCTGGTTGAAGGACCAACCAGTGAAAGCGGGGACAACCAACAGTGAGCCCAGTGTATCTGTCAGGTGAAGCATAGATAGCTTGTTGAGAGAGCAGGTTGCTGTGCTGTTTGAACCTGCCCGTCGCTTGTCTCGTTACCCTTAATACATAACTGTAAACCTAAAGTTAACAATGATTATTTATGCTGATTTATTTTGTGCTTTTTATGTCTGTAGGGGGGAGCCTAAAACATGGTATGGAGCCCCAGGATATGCAGCAGAACAACTGGAAGATGTCATGAAGAAGCTGGCTCCTGAGCTATTTGAATCTCAGCCAGACCTTTTACATCAGCTGGTTACAATTATGAATCCCAATACACTGATGTCGCATGGTGTGCCTGTATGTCACATGGCAATATTTAACCATTTTTTGCACACAGAAATAGTTGTGATATGTCTATATACTGGTGCAAAGAGTCATATTGCTTCATATGATTTAGTTGATTTGAAAACGAGCAAAAATAGTAAGTTGATTTGCTATTCAGAGCTGCTACTTCTTCAAAAGTAATGCACCTGAAAGTATAGTGAGGAAAGTATAGTAGATCCTTCTGTTGCACGTGGCTTGCTTCCTGTGCAAATCTTAATTGTAGTAAAAGTCTGTTATTATAGGGCTGCTTCTCATGTAACAATGTTAATTTCACAGGAGTTCTTGGGAGTAATTTCTGTGATGGTCTATATGTGCCATTTTTGTTGCTATGTGCCACCAATTTGTCTCATAGTGACCCTATGAATGATGCCCTCCAAAATGTCCTGTCCTTGACAGTCCTGCTTAGGTCTTGTAAATTCAAGGCTGTGGCTTCCTTTATGAATTGAGCCGTCTCATATTTGCTCTTCTTCTTTGTCTTCTGCCTTCAACTTAGCCTAGCATGATTGTCTTCTCCAGTGAGTTTTACCTTTTCTTGATGTGCTCAACAACTGACTCGGTTTCATTATTTTTGCTTCTAGGAAAAGTTTCAGCTTGATTTGATCTAGGACTCACTTGTTTGTCTTTCTGTGTATCCAGGATATTCACAAAGTCTCTTCTAGCACCTTATTTTGAATACATCTTATTTTCTTCCTGTCATCTTTCTTCACTGTTTAACTTTCATATCCATTCATAGTGATCAGGAATACAATGGGGTGGAGGATCTTGGCATTGGTCTCCAGTGAAACATCCTTACACTTGATGAACTTTTCTAGTACCTTCGTTGTTGCCCTTCCAAGTCTCAATCTTCTTCAGATTCCCTGGCTGCATGTCCATTTGAGTTGATGATTGAGTCAGGGTATTCAAAATCTTTCACAATTTTGATTTCTTTGTTGTTAACAGTAAAGTTCTGTAGTCGTGACTATTGTTTCCTTGATGTTCAGCTGCGGTCCTGCTTTTGCACTTCTTTCACTTCCATTAGGAGTCATTTCAGTTCATTGCTGCTTTCTGCAACTAATACAGTGCTTTTAGCATATCTTATTAATGGATCTTCCACCAATTTTCATTCCTTCCTTTGATCAGTCTTTATGATATATTCTGCATACTGATTGAACACAGAGGGAGATAAAATACATTCTTGTTAATCAGAAGCTTGATTTTAAATCTTGAGCTTAATTTTCCCAATTAAAAAACTTGACATACTTGCACAAATGCAGTATGACCAGTGAATTTCTAAAGTTAGAGGGGGTGGGCTTCTAACTCCCTTAAATGTGAAATTCATAGACTGCTTTGACTTCTGCACTAATTTGGGTGGAGCAACACTAGATTAAACAGCCACTGAATTACCTCCAGGCCCAGTTCCATGTTTTTGGAGACAGGCCTCTGGTGTTGATGGGGCATCATATAATACAGGGTATAAGATACCTTGGGACAAGATGAAATGCTGCACTCAGGACACAGCCTGCCCTCTCTCAGGATGAACATACCACTGTGATGGTTTCTGTTCTTATACCCTCAACCTAAATGCAAGCTTATGTCCAGGGAGCAACCTCTTCCCACTGAGAGGTCAGAGTATCCGATGACACTTGTTATCTGGCCCCACTATAGGTCAGATGCTAGTGAGGCGACTGAATCAATGGGCTTGTTAGCATTGATGTATCTTAATAACTAGCTCATACTGTAAACATTTATAACTGATGATGAAGATAACAGTCATAGGTAGCTTTTAAAGAAGGATCAAATAATTCCTAGAAGTTAGGGCTGTCATTATCTATCAGTTGTCAGAATGAAATGAGTGCATCATACCTGTGGATACCAAATGTTGAGGAAACCAGTAAAGCAGGGAAGTTTCCTTTGTGCTCTGCTTACGAGCCTCCAGGCAACGTACTGTTGGTCAGTGTTGAAACACATATGCTAAACTATGTGGACTTGTCATCTAATGTAGGCAGGCTGCTCTTGTGTTCCTAAAAACAAAGGCTAGCAATCTTAATTTCTTACATACTGGCTTTGTTTTCTTCTAGATTTACCGAACCAACCAATGTGCTGGTGAATTTGTGATTACATTTCCGAGAGCCTACCATAGTGGTTTTAATCAAGGTTTCAACTTTGCTGAAGCTGTAAATTTCTGTACTGTCGATTGGGTATGTTTTATATGTTATGAACATTTTACTGGAGAATACAATCTTTGTTTTGTTTAACCTAGAAAACACTTTCAGGAATGTGTGTCAACTCAAAATGTGGATTGTTTTATTTACTATATGAAATGCACCTCATCCACTAAAGAAGCTAAGCCCAGAGATAAATGTTTTCTGATTTCAGAGTTTTTTAAAAACGGAAATCAGATTTTAGAGATCTCTCATATTATGTAAAAGCTTCCTCACCTAAGCTTAAAAAATGGATTCCATTCTAAACATACACAAATTTTATAGTCGTCATTGTCAACCATTAAGTCATGTCTGACCCTTGGCCACTCTATGAATTAGTGCTTTCCATGATTCCCTGTCTTGCCCTGCTTCCTTCAAGACTGCTGTGTCCATCCCCATGTTTATCTTTATGGTGTCCAGCTTTGACAAATTTTATATTTTGTATATATTTTATATTTACATTTTCCTGAGCCAATGTTCTGCAGAAGGATTTTATTGCACATATGAAATCCATGTAAACCACATGGATTTCTCACAGAACATGTAAAACTAATCTAATTGCAGTGAATAGTTGAGACCTTTGTACAGGTGGAAATACACTGCAAAGTTTCTGGTTATAATTACATGCTTCAAAATTGCATTTATTTATTTTAAAAAATTTGTATCCCACCCTTTACACTGTCTCAGGATGGCAATAACATAAATAAGACACAGCATCACAATAATACATAATTTAAAAAAAAAACAATGCTAAATTTTAAAATGCTAGGAAAATAAAAAGGGTTTGGCCTGGTGCTGAAATGAAAAAAGTGTTGGTGCCAGGCACAACTCTCTGAAGAGCCCATTCCATAGCCAGGGTGCTGCTGCAAAGAAGGCCCTTCTCCAGGTAACCACTCTTCTGATCTCCGTCAAAGAAGGTCTCCTGAAGGGAGGACCTGTGCTCCAGATCTTAGGGTCCAGGCAGGTATATAGCATTGTGTAGTCCTTTAAAGTTGAATTCTTTTTTGCAGGAGTAAAGTGAGCTGCATTTTTAACAGTCATTTGCAAGAACCTGTAACTTTAATCCCCCCATTCTCTTACAGAACAATAAGAAACTTTCATTTTCTGTCTTTCTTTAAAGTTGCCATTGGGTCGCCAGTGTGTGGAGCACTATCGCTTATTAAACCGGTATTGTGTGTTTTCTCATGATGAGATGATATGTAGAATGGCTGCCAAAGCAGAGACACTTGATGTAGTGGTAGCTTCTACTGTTGAGAAAGATATGGCTATTATGATTGAAGATGAAAAGGCTTTACGGGAGGCTGTGTGTAAACTGGTAAGCTTTTTTTGAACTTGAGTAATGGGATACTTTTTAAACACTTCATTTTACGAAGAACTATGTATCTGAATGTCCTGTACTCCTAACCAGACTGGGGTCTTACATAATATTAGATGATGATGATGATGACGACAACAACAATGACATTGTATTTATATCTTTTTCCTTCTTGTGAGGAACCAAAGCTAGCATACATAGCTCTGTTTTATCCTCACAACTACAACCCTGTGAGGAAGGTTAGGCTGAGAGTGAATGACTAGCCCAAAATCACCCAGTGAACTTCACGGCTGAATGGGAACTAGAACCTGCATCTCCCAGGTCCACTTTCCAACACTCTAACCAATACAATACTCTGACTAGTTTTCCATATGTGGAAGAGTAACAAAATTTAGCCATCAAAACATTTTTTCTTCTTCTTTATTGTTTATTTTGAGCTTTTGGTGAAGTAGTTACCTTTTTAGATAGCTATTTGATTGATGCCCTTGTGTTAGGAACAGTTGATTCAAAATGCAACTGTTCAAAATGCATTTTTAATATGGAACTTGATCATGCCTGATTTTATCTGGGTGGCACCTCGTGACATCAGTGGAAACTACATGTGTGGATAGGTTTGTTAACTATCCTGTTAAACATATGTTGCCTGCAGGCATCAATGTACCCCCTAAAACTGGTGCCCAGAAAGTTACTCTAGTTTTTATAATTTTTATTTTAAAAATTATATGTTCTTATTGGCAGCTTGGATTACTTCAAAGTGTAGTAGAAACCTCTAGTTTAATTTCCTGGTAATGCCTCTGGGCAGATTATTTGTCCTTTGTGACTAGCCATGCCCACCAATGGCAGCCATTTTATGGTTGTGTACAGGACAGTTTCTCAAATGTCCAATGTGTCTACAGCTCCAAAAGTTTCCTACCTCTGTTATAAAATGACTTGTTTGTTTTTTTTACAGGGAGTTACTGAATCAGAGAGAATTAATTTGGAAATCTTGCCTGATGATGAACGACAGTGCATAAAATGTAAAACCACTTGCTATATGTCTGCAGTCTACTGTTCTTGTAACCCTGACTTGCTGGTATGCCTATATCATGTAGAGGATCTCTGTACATGTCCTACTTACCAATATAAAATGGGGTAAGCTTTTGTTATATTCGGACAAGTAGAAATATTTCTAAATAAGTATGTATTCTATAGCTTTTTCTGACTTCCAGATGCCCAATGTTATGTCTGATATGTAATAGAAATTCTGAACACCTGAAAGGTGAAATCCTGTTGAGATATCCATGAAACTTATGGGTCCCAAGTACAGAACTAGGGGATTAGTAGAGGTGGTATTTGTTTCCCTGTTCATATTGCTTTGCAGTTTTGAGAGATCGACTTTTTCACCTGGCAAACTAGAATGTCTTGGAGTGGGGGGGGGGATGGAACAGCTGCAGGATACCTAGTAGCCTGGCCACCCCAGTTCCCTTCCCTCCTCACATCCTCCATGCTTCCTTTAATCCCTCTGAGAACCCTTTTCCAGCTCTGTAAAAAAGCTGGCACATTTTCTATTCTGGCTGCAAGGCAGTGGAGGAGGGGAGTCAGAGCTCTAGTTCTCAACACCATGGTCAAAGTGGTATTTCTGACCTCAGAGCTGGGAATCCTAAGGACCCTAAAGAATGTCTAGGGGCTATAAAGTCAATTAGAATATTTTAGAAGATTAAACAAAGTTTGTCTACCAACTTCCCATAGTGAATAAATTAATTTTGAAATATAATAATAGAGCAGAACTGTTCCTAGGATGAAGGGGTGCTGTGGGTGTGTTTCGTGTTCAGGGGCAGTGATAGGCCTTCTCTCTGAATTTTCCATTTTAGCAGGCTCTGTTTTGGCCTTGGCCTTTTCCTAGTTTCTGACATGTATTAATAAAAGTTGTTTGGAGTTCACAGCTGGATTGGAAAATTTTCACAGCAATGCCATTTACTATTCAAGCAATGCCAGAATATTTCACTTGGAATGTCAAAGCTGTAAATAAATTGTTTGAATTCTGTACTATTTCCAGATATCGATATACAATAGATGAACTTTACCCAATGATGAATGCACTTAAATTGCGGGCAGAATCCTACAATGAATGGGCTTCTAATGTCAATGAAGCTTTGGAAGCGAAACTTAATAATAAAAGAAGTATGTATCTGTTAACTTCTGTTTTGTATTATAACACAACATTATCAAATTAATAGCATGTTTGCTCAGCATTAGAACTTATGCCCAAGTCAGTGTACTTTAAATTTGAACTGGATAAAGCAGGGCAACCTCATATGAAAGTGCAGGAATTTGTAATAAAAATAGATCCAGAATGGTGTGCTGTATTATTTTATTTACCAAAAATTGTTACTTTCCTACAGGTCTCATGAGTTTCAAAGCTTTAATTGAAGAATCTGAAATGAAGAAGTTTCCAGATAATGACTTACTGCGGCATCTCCGTTTAGTGACACAGGATGCAGAAAAATGTGCTTCAGTTGCACAGCAGCTGCTTAATGGCAAAAGACAAACCAGGTATATTTTCTATGTGTTTTAGATTTGAATTCCTCTAGAGTTCATTAAGTTCATTAAGAAACCCCATTATGCCTCTCAGTTTTCTCTAAGTGTTGAAATAGATTTTCCTGCAAAAAGAATGCCTATATACAAAAATCTAGCATAATATGCTAAAAAGGCTATGCTGAGTTACCTACATTTGTTTGGTCATGTTTAAGTGTTTTTTTAATACAGCTATCTATATTACAGGGAGGAATGTCTGCAGGAATAGAGTGTAATTTTCTTGGGTTCCTTTTAGTTCTGGAAATTGCACCAGGGAAGGCTGAAGCTAAAAAGAAACAATGACAATTAAATAACTGACACTGAAGAAAATCTTACAATTTATTTAGAAAAGTACTCCAGTTTTTAATTTTTGCACTTCTGTGTTTCAAGTGAAACAGCTATTTTTCAGAGGCAGTAGTCACTTGTTTCCTGAATGTGGAATTTCTTGAGGAGAGTAGTTTCTCTCTTTCCAGAGGGAGACAAGAAATGTTTGTTGTATCTCAGAAAGAATCATTACACTTGAAAAAGTATTGTGCATAATGTTGAAAACTGAACACCTCAATGACTACCAATTTATTACAGCATTAGCTTTTATGGATAAGATCCTACTTCATCAGATTGCATACAGAATTATCTGTATGTGTCTATCTGTACATGTATGTGCAAACACACACACACACACACAGAAACACAGAGAGTATTTGTATGGGACCATGTGGAATTGTACACAGTGAGGCCAGAAGGAAATTAAATTCTTAAAGCAAGACATAGTTACATTTTTAACAACAATTCACAAACAATTTAGGCAATACATAGTACATTTAATATGAAGAAACACTCCCTCAGAAAATTGGAGCGAGCAGTGATATGGCCAAGTTTATGATGAACTTATAAATGAGCTAAAAAGACACAGAAAAGGGTAACCAGAATACTCAAGGTTTTAGAGCAGCTT